CTGACACAGGGCTCTGTCTGCAGTGGGTGGCCCTGAACCGTTGGCCGGAAGCAGCAGTTGTTCAGAGCAAAGCTGTATTTCCTTGTGGCGAGTAAGGGAGGCAGTGGCCTCATGCCCTCGTGCCCTCGTGCCCTCGTGCCTCGCGGATGGAGCAGGCTACCAGGGCTCTTAGAACACGGCGAGGGGAGTGTCCAGGAGGCAGAGGAGGGTGAGCAGCAGAGCCCTTCCTGCCGAAGCGAAGCACATGTGCGTGTTCAAAACGCCGGCTCCCTCTGCTTTCCTGCTCACTGGCAGTCTGGGCCGGCTGAGTGCCGTGTTGCAAGGTCAGCTTTCCCGGCTCATCTCCGGAAAACAAGCCCTGAGGAGGAGTGGTTTGTGTCAGATCCTCTGCCCCTGTACCTGGCCCTCCTCCTGGCCAAGTCCCATGTTCCTGGTTAGAGGCAGCACAGGGCGAGACAGGCCCTGCTCTGTCACTCATCTGCTGGGCGGGGCTCAGGCGCCCTGCAGACTTCTCTCCTTCTGTCTGTAGGACAGAGACTGAGCGTGGGCTGCCACTGACCGAGTCTGCTCTTTGCCAGACAGCTGGGCTGATCTTGACAATGGAGCTGCGAGCTGGGCACTCCTGCACCCACCGGAAAAAGGAGGCAACTGAAGCCCGGAAGGTTAAGCAGCTTGCCCGAGGTCACAGGCGAGTGGCCAATCCTGAGGTTCCAGACCATCGAGATATAAAGTCCATAAGCTTTAGTCTGTGACTTTGTGGTTCTCTGAGTTGCACATGCACAGACCATGCTGAGAATTCTTCTGAAAAATCAAAATCGATTTTAACTGCCCACCCTAACTCTGATTTCTCAGCACTTCATCACAGATCCTAAGATCAACCATAAACACGCTTTCAAACTGGACCTAGTCAAGTCTTACCCACTTAAGTAATTGTCCATAAAATGACTGAAGACTAGGACCATCTTACCTCTCAGGGTTAAGATTCTCTTTTCTTTTTTTTTAAGATTTATTTATTTGAAAGTCAGAGCTAAAGAGAGACAGGAATGGGGAGAGAGAGATCCTTCATCCATTGGTTCACTCTCAGATGGCCACAAAGGCCAAAGCCAGGAACCAGGAGCCTCATCTGGGTCTCCCACCTGCGTGGCAGGAGCCCAAACACTTGGGCCATCTTCTACTGCTTTTCCCAGGCCATTCTCAGGGAGGTGGATTGGAGGTGAGGCAGCCAGGACGTGAACCAGCTCCGGTATGTCACGCCGGCGTTGGCAGGGGCAGCTTTACCCACTATGACACAACTCTGACCCCCAAGATTCTCTTTTCCATTTTTTTCCCAAGTACAGCACAGAGATTCTTTTACATCTTCCTTCCAATCTGCTGTTTGTCAGCGTTCATGGGAAACCTCTCTGTCTACAGATCTGTGTGTAGAAATAGAATTAAAAGGAAATGTGCAGCCCATGAATTTGTGCCGCTGGTGTGACTGATTCTTTTTGTAAATGATGTCGACTTATGGAGTCCTGGTTTATCATCTATCTGTGCCTATGCTAGTGCATCTCTCTCAAAATACCCCTGCATTTCTCTCCCGTTTTCAGCACAGATTCCGAGGACCAACTGTGTAGAAATAGCTCTATGTCCAGAGGTTTCTTTTGTAATAGAAAGTGGGCCTAAATGCTACAAAACTGAAGAAATTGGCAGTGATCAAAAATAGTTGCACTGTTTCAACAAGATATACATTAGTTCCCGCAGAGGTTAAAATGTTTAAAAAACATAAATGAACTAGGTAGTCCCTGTAGAATCAGGGAAATAATGTGTTATTGTGTATAATTATAATTATTGTTAAAAATTCCAGCCTTCAGAATTCTTTTCTTGTTAGTTCTAGTTTTGTTTTTTTTTTTTTTTAGTTTTGTTTATTTATTCATCTGAAAGGCAGAGTGACACAGAGAGAGCGAGAGAGAGAGAGACGAAAAGTATCTTCTACTCACTGGTTCACTCTCCAAAGGCCCACAAGAGCCAGGGCTGGGCCAATTCAAAGCCAGGAGCCCAGAACTCAACTGGGTCTCCCTCATGGGTAGCAGGTACCCAAGCACTTGGGCTGTCAACCGCTGCCCTCCCAGGTGCATTAGCAGGGCCCTAGGTCGGAAGCCGAGCAGCCAGGACTCCAGCCGGCACTCTGACATGGGATGTGGGCATCCCGAGCAGTGGCTTTCCCCCTGCACCACAGAGTCCACTCCATTAGATAAAAGTGGAGAAGTGCGGTGGAATGCATTGAAGCAGAAATGCTCACCTCTGTAGCACCTGGCATTGTGGGAACTCAGCTTTATGGAGTCTGGGCTAGAGAGATGGGCCCAGGGGTAACTGCGCAGCTTTCTCTCCACCTAGGAACATCGTGAACTCACTGCCTGACAAGACTCCTCTGCTCAGCCAGGACCAAGGCAGTGACGCGCAGAAGACAGGTTCTTGGCTCTGAGCATATCGAAGCGTGCACTGCTCCACAGTCATGTGATGGTGATGGCCCAGAAACTGCCACACCGTGTTGCAGCATGAGAAACAGCCACCAGACCACAGCCCTAGTGTATATGCATAATAGATGGACAGACCATTGTAACGTTCATTCTGCTACTTTGTATCGGAGAAATACAGGCCCACTATGGAGGATCAGGCATGATGCTAGCCATTTTATCTTTTTTTTAAAAGATTTATTTATTTATTTGAAAGAGTTACAAAATGGCAGAGGCAGAGAGAGAGAGAGAGAGAGAGAGAGAGAGAGAGAGAAAGTCGTCCATGTGCTGATTCACTGCCCAAGTGGCTGCAATGCCAGAGCTGCACCAATCTGAAGCCAGGAACCAGGAGCTTCTTCCGGGTCTCCCACATGGGTGCAGGGGCCCAAGGACTTGGGTCATTTTCTACTGCTCTCTTAGGCCATAGCAGAGAGCTGGATCAGAAGTGGAGCAGCCAGGATTCGAACCAGTGCCTATATGGGTTGGCAGCACTGCAGACAGCAGCTTTAACCTGCTGTGCCACAGCACAGGCCCTGGCACTAGCCATTTTAGACTTCATCTTTGATATACCTGTTAACAAATATTTGGTTGGTATCCTTGTTTTACTTTATTTTATATTTTAAATGTAGAGATCTGGCATTTTAGCCTTGCATTCTAGTAACTGCCTTTTTTTAAAAAAAAAAATGTATTTATTTGAGAGGCAGTGTGGCAGTGTGAGGGAAGGGGCTGGCAGGGACTGACTTCGAGAGAGAGAGAGCTCCTATCTGCTGGTTCACTCCCAAATGCCCACAACTACCAGCACGGGGCTGACACTGAAGCCAAGGGGCGGGAACTCAATCTGGGTCTCCCAAATGGGTGTCATGGATCCAACTGCTTCAGCCTTCACCTGTTGCTTCTCAGGGTCTGCATTAGAAGGAGCTGGAGTCAGGGTCCAGAGCTAGATATCAAATCCAGGCGCTCTGCTCTGGGATGCAGGCGTCTCTACTGGAGTCTTAACCACCAGGTTAAGTGCTGGCTTCTAGGACGCCCATTGTATAGGGAAGGCTGTCCGGGGACAAGGTTGCCAAGCTCAAGGTGGGTGTTACACGGCTCTACCAGAGATGTTAATACCAAAGTCTTTCTTTTCCACTGTACCCTGCCCCTTCTTTCGTGTCCCTTTGCTATGTCCCATAGCACACAGCTGTGTTGTATAATATTTTGGAGTCTCATTCTTAGTTTCATTTTTTCTGGAAAGTTTAAAGCATGAGCTGTAGAGTATCCCTAATTAGTACTGCTACGGTATTTTCTCGTGTTAGAAATTTTGCCAGGCAGTCAATTGAAACACTCCCTGATAGAAGTTTTCTTTTCACCAAACGTCTGCTGGCTAAAGTCATGACAGATACCAAGAAATCCCTCTAAGAGTCAAGTCCATCCACCGGGGACACTGGCTTCTCCCTTCCCAGATTTCTAGGTGAACGAAAGACCTGCGTTCTTTTAAGGGACTACACAAAGCTTTTCCTACCCCAGTGTTTTGGAAGAGGAATTTCACTTTTCTTTCTCTGACTATCCAGTTTTCTGATTATTTTTTATCATGAACTCTTGTGGTTCACCCTTTCAGCATCCTTTTGTTGTAAAATAAATTGTTGCTACCTTAAATTGTTTGCCTATTCAGTAAAATATTTTTTGCTCCAGTTGTCACTTGTGTGCACATTTTATCCTGCATTTAGTGAAAACATGGGGACTCTAGATTGCCCTATGTTTGTGTTCAGATTCGTAATCAATATATTTACCCTAGATCGATATTTGAACTCACCAAAGTTAAATTAATTGTTAGAAGAGAAGATTGACTTTGGGGGGGTTGATTTCTAAGTGTTTTATTATGAGAAGATGTTGTTCTGAGTCTATCAAAATATGTTAAGCTTGTTAAATATATTTATGCTCAGACAACTCAATATTCGGGACATGTGCTTGAAAATCAGCTGTCTTTCGACTTCTGCGTGAAGCACAACCTTGAAGCACGCGTACAAGGTGGGCTGCCTCCGCGACTCAGATGCCGTTTGCGTTAGTCCCATGGCGCAGCGGTTGTGCAGTGAGCTTGGAGGCTATTTCAGCATGGCGGGAGATCAGCCACCGAGACCCCAGCACCTCGTGCATAGGCTGTTTTACCCACAGACCTCTTCCCACAGGGATTTATGAACCAGTTTAAGGATGCTGTAGCTGACGGCGCAGGGACACTGGGACCGCCTGTGTGTCTGCGAATTCCGTTGTGAGAAAGCACCTGCAAGGCGGTGTGCGCTGTGCAGGCTGCTCAGTAATTGAGATGTTAGAGTATAAGCTCAGGAAACCGTCCGCCATGTCTGTAGGTCTGTCATCACCTTTACAAGCGATCTTTGTGCAAATTCCAGTGGTCTGCATGCCGAGCTACCAGACGGTTTCCATTTGCTGATTTAATTTCCCCCAAAGAATGCTGCGGCGCTGGTTGAGCCTAGAAACGGACATTCACGGTGACATTTTCATCCTGTTTTTCAGAGCATCAGAGCCTCGGGCCTTATCCTGTTGGAAACAATCCTGTTTGGGTCTCTGCTCCTGTACTTTCCTGTAAGTGACATCATTGTGTTTCAATTGGCCGTTTCTTTGATTGTGTGTTGGTAGTATGATACATAGAGAGGGGTCTTCAAAAGGTTTATGGAAGTGGTGTTTGGCGGGCGTTCGGTTTAGATGTCCAAGTCCCATGTCAGTATACCTGGGTTCAATCCCCACCTCCAGCTCCCGATGCCAGCTTCCCGCCAGAGCAGGTGACAGTTCACAAAGCCGGGTACCTGCCACTCACGTGGGAGACTTAAAGACTGAGTTCCTTAGCTTTGGCTTGGTGCAGCTGTGGGCTGCTGCAGGAGTCTGGGGAGTGAACCAGCTGGTGGGCAATCACTCCAACACTCTCTTCACCTCTTGCTTTCAAAAAAGTTCATTAAAGATGGGCATTACATTTTAATTCCATTTTCCATGAATTTTTGAAGTATACACATGCACACACACACACACAAATCCAAGACTTGATTGATACTTAAATCCTTGTACTTTTTGTTTGCATGTTCTTAAGCAAGTTACATAATTCTTTTTTTTAAAGATTTATTTATTTATTTATTTGAAAGTGAAAGAGTTACACAGAGAGAGAAGGAAAGGCAGAGAGATCTTCCATTTGCTGGTTCGCTCCCCAATTGTCTGCAAAAGTTGGAGCTGTGCTGATCCTAAGCCAGGAACAAGAAGTTTATTGCTGGTCTCCCACGTGGGTGCAGAGGCCAAAGCACTCAGGTCCTCTTCTACTGCTTTCCCTGGCCATAGCAGAGAGCTGGATCGTAAATGGAACAGCCGGGACTTGAACTGGCGCTCATGTGGTATGCTGGCACTGCAGGCCACAGCTTTACCGGCTGAGCCACAGTGCCGCCCCCATGACAATTCTGAACCTTAGTTTTCTCTTGTAAAATGGAGCTAAGTATACATTTCTTCACATATTTGTGACGAAGGTTAAATGCTTAAGGGAGGTAGCGTGTGAAAGGCGTACTTGTTAAGTAACCTTCATAAATACAAATAAATATTAATAAATTCCTTCTTTCTCTCACTGTAACTGAAAAACAACCACAAGCACATCAAGTAGTCAAAGCTGGAAAAGTCCAAGTGATTAAATAGGAAATCAAGCATCACACAGTAAGCATTACCAGACTTCCTAGTGGCTTAGATCATCACAGTAGGCTTTGTTGTTTTGTTTTGAAAACCACACTAGTGACATTGTACTAGTGACATTACCAACCAAAGGTAAGGAATTATTGTGCTCACCCAAGTTGTTTGTGTTCAGCAGTGACTGTGTGCTAAGCACCATTCTAATTTCTGTGTGTTCTCTATGTGTAAGACAAACTTGATGTCTCCTCTCGGAAAGTGTACAGTTGGGGG